AAAAAAAAACTTATGAAATAAAATAATATATAAAAGCTAATATGATAAGCATTAAAAACAAATATCGTTTTGAAATTAAACATGTGCTGAAAAAGGGATTAAATTTGGAGAATTTAATGCGCGTGTGGTGTCTTAAAATTCAGACTAAAAGCTCCACTTGAGTAGAAGGAGAGTGCATTACACATGCCCATGAGCTATATCTAGCAAAATATATCTAGGTGATTGTTATTATTTGCCGTCAAACGTGTCGGCTTTCTGCCCAAATTCTTTAATGATTAGCGTAAATAATAAGGATTAATAACTAAGCAACTCTACCATTCCAACCAAACTGACTGATGGACAACTAATGGATCACTAAAAATCTTTAAGTCCTTTAATTTTTAATTTAATCCAAAGCAACTTTTGTCGTTTGGATATTCATTGTTGATCAAAAACCTGATAAAATAAAATCGAAAAAGCAGCTGCGTTACCAACAATTGACGGACATGATGGATAGGGTAATATATAGTTGATTTATTAATGACTAATGACAACCGGATGAGCCATGCAAATTATTTGATTAATAATTGTTAGTCGATTTTACGGTACTTTTCAGAAAAGGTGATCTAAACTTGAATTTAATAATTACTGTTTTTACGTGGTTCTTGGAAAGATTGGAAGATGATAGAGTATTTGTACAGTTGACTATCTCAATTCGTTGATTAAGAAAAAGTTACAGAAAATCTTTTGACTTCATACTGCACATAATCCGGCGGATTTGGCAAAATGGTGGAAAAGATTAGAATCCCATGTTTCTTTTTTTCCTCATACTGTATATCAAATTTTATAATGAGCACAATTATGGAGAAGAAACTTGCCCCAAGGATCAGCTAATTGAACCAACTGTTAGCCTTGAGCATATATTATCTATAGTTACTATTATAAAACATTCAAAGAGATAATCAAGAACATTAATCAAGAAAATTATCGCCGAAATTGATAACCAAAACAATATTACTATAGTTATGGGACGAGGAGATTTCTTAGGGGTCAAACGATGGAGTTGTGTGTGGCGCTCAAAAATTGTTGGCGCGTGATTGGGAGGTCCAGCTTATGCATGCTTCTCGAGACTTCATCACCAAGAGTACTCAAACCGTAATTAGATTACGATACTATTTAAATCTCATATTCTGACAATAGAATAATTTAGTTCATTCAGGGTTTAACCTTCTTCGTGGTACCAAAAAAAAAAAAATTTGTCAAGTGACATATGTTGGATTTCTCATTTCCCCTAGGATGAAAGAGCAGGCAACCCATTTAGTGGTTCGGGGAGTGCGGCCTGTCAGTTATAATATAGGGATCCTAGGTACAGCAAACAATATGTACCTAGTGTAAAACACACGCGCCCACAATTTCAAAAATTCTGAAATTACTATTTATTAACCCTTTTTTATGGAATTTTTTATTTTCGAATTTCCATAACCGATTATTCACCCTAATTATCCGTCATGATACCATTCCATCCATTCCATCTGCAACCATAATCTCATATATTTTTCATTTTGCATCATTTTAATATACCAAATTCTCACGTCGATAGTACTCTTAAAGACGAAATCAAATTCGTGCAGCCAAAATAGGGATTTTGCATCACGTTGCTTAGTATTACGGTAAAAAATCATGTTATTCATCTCTTTTGTGTGGTTGTTTCAAAATCTATCTCTTAAAAATATAAATTTGTCCGCTAAATCTTGTTCGGAATTCTCAAAATCTTTGTTTCGCTATTTAGATTTGCCAGTTCGAGCTCGTTCGATAAATCGTTGAAGGTTTATGGATTCAGATTTGTTGTGAAAAAGAACAACATTCAGATTTGGTGAATCGCCGGAGGCTTATAGATTCAGATCTGTTGTGTAAAGAAGAAAAGATTAACAGATATAGGTATTGTTCATTAGTTTAATGTCATTATTCAACTTTAAAACATGTTAGTTCATCGATGTTCTAGTCTTTGTCATCGATTTGTGGTTGATTTCAGAAAATATTAACAGATCTGATATTATTCATCATCTCGGTATTATTATTCATCATCAATGTGTGGTTGTTTTAGTCATGTTTTCTTCTTCTGTGAAATATTATTCATCATTCATCATTAATTAATGATGTCAGTTCATCAATTTCTTAGTTTTGTTCATCGATCTGTGGTTGATTTTGGAAAAAATTAATAGATCTAGGCTTTGTTTATCTGTTTAATATCATTATTCATGTTTAATACATGTTAGTTCATCGATGTTCTAGTTTTGTTCATCAATTTGTGGTTGATTTTAGAAATCAGATTTTTACATCATTATCTATTTCTGGCGGTTATTCAACATCTCGATATCATTATTCATCATCAATTTTGGGTTATTTTAGTCATGTTTTTTTCTTCTGGTGAAATGTTTATTCATCTTGTATTCTAGTTATTCATTATTTTCGCTTAGTTATTCATTAAAGTACAATTATTCATCTTGTAAAACTACAACTATTCTTCATTATAATATTATTATTCATTTAGGATGAGATCATTATTCCTCAGGTTTGCACCGTTATTCATTTTTGTGAATATAGTTATTCATTACAAAATTTAAATTTATTCGTCCATAACGTTGTCACTATAAGAACATCATTGTTCATCATGTCCATAACGTTGACATTATAAGCACCAAAAGTCTTTTTCTCAGAGTTGAAACATCATCCAATAAGCATATCATCTGTTATTTATCAATAACAACTTGTTATTCATTACTTAAAGTTAGATAATCATCGTAAATCTGAACAAGATGACACACCATCTGCCAAAAGACAACAATGAAATTCATGTTCATCAGTAACCATATATGACGCATTACCTTATGCATGTATATTCACCAATAAAACAAATACATTTTACATCAATCATCTTTCAATAATTGTATAACAGTATTCATTGTCTAAACGTTGGTTATTCATTACTGAAAAAATACAAATTGATTCTTCATATTCATAAGTCTCAATGATTAACCATAGCCAATTTTACTAAAATAAAATCCATCGTTATAAAGACATTATCTCATATAATAAAATAATATAAAAGCTAACATGATAAGCAAAAAAAAAAGGTTTAAAATTAAACGTGCATCAAAAAAAAAGGGATGAGATCAAGGAGTCAAATACCAAAAAAAAAGGATAAAATTATGGGGATTAAATGCAAAAAAATGGGGATAAAATTGGGTAATTAAATGCACGTGTGGGAACTAAAAATCAGGACTAAAATGATTACTTTTTTCTCCCAAATTTGTGATACACGCACTGTCTAGATACACCTTGCAAGGTGTACCTAGGAGCTTAATATTATTTGCCGTGTTGCCTGATCTGCAGCCATGCTCTGAGCCGAAGCTGAGTTTGAGGTGTTGCTGTCACTTTCTTTTGATATATTATAAACGTATCTGGTGTTTGAATTAATTACTCTGTCCAAACTAATACGGTGTCACTTATGCATTTAACATAGAAATTTAGAAACGCATCATTTCTAATGCATTAATGGTGAGATTGTAGATTAAAATAAATCCTCAGGCTTAAAAATATTTCTTCACTTATTGATTAATACTAGAACAAGACGCGCGTTCATTAAAAAAAGTAAAGGTAAAATAGCAATAAATTTAGACAATTTCGGTTCATATCTAATACTATGATTCATAACCAAAATCTTAAGTGGACAGTTTAAATTTTAACTAAAGACTGATATTATTCTGTAAATGTGATATTCTATGACAACTCTTTTCATTTACTATCTCCCATCCATCCAAATTATAGTTTAACACTGATGAACAGAGTTGTACAAGTGATGGGAATACAGGAAACTAAAAGTTCTGTTGTTTTGGGTAAAATCGTGGTTAATTCATGATATAACTTAAGAATTTCTTTCAAAATAAATAAGTAAAAATGAGAAACCGGAGAGTGAAGCGAATGTGAGTATATATAGGTTATTTGTGATCATCCTTATGATGATGATCGTAGTGTGATTTATTTATGTGGCTTGATATTCTCAGTTATGGATCGGTTGACATTCAACTTCAAGGATGATAAAAGATTGAAAGAGATGTTGTTTGAAGTTAAAAGGGTTGATCTAAGTTGGACATGTCAAATTAAGGAGAAGCCGGCAAAGGGACTTAAGTCTCTCGTCAAGCATAACTCAAGTAGACAATAATATGTCGACTTGATGATCGGGAAAACAAGGTCGACCAAAAGGACGACGACTAATGGTCGAATATTCGGTCGGCCAACGAAAAGGTCGATGCAGTGAGGGTAAAATTTTCAGATTTATCCTAATTTGACTAGGATTTATTGTTTTTGCATTTCCGTTGCTTATTTTTTGTTCCAACCAATCCTACTATACTTCTAGTTGCATTCATAATCTCACCAGATGCATTTGGGTAATGTACTAATATGACATTAGAATTATACTTTCTTCTTTGTCCCAAAAACTATACGTATCCTTGAAAATCTTTTTTAAAAAAACAAAAACCACGTCACGGGGGAATAAAGATGATATTAATATAAGTAGGAAAAAAGAGAGTATTAATAAAGTAGTTCTCATGCAGCAAGTGCTGTTCATCATGTGTTTTTAGAAAGCAAAGCAAAGTCGGAAAAAAGATGATATTTACTCTTACCATTTGGTATTGATTCATCCTCACCATTTCTTAGAAGCTTGAACTAGCCAGCTTTTAAAAATGGTCTCGTTTCTGGTAAGTTGCCCTTCTTTTCATTTTCTTATTCATAGTGGCCCAAAAAGCTAAGACCATTTTAATCATTTCAAACAAAACGTGCTTTGCATGATGAATTCGATACATATTCGGGTCCCCTAAAGCACTAGTTGGATTAATTTAGGTCATTAATTAGCCAAAGTTAACTGGCCTAATCAGAGAACAGGCAACAGAGCTATATTAAAGCACATACAGAGACCGTAAAAATTGATTCAGAACTTTCCAAACATTCACTCCAGAAAAATGGATACTTCCATTTTGACATTAACCCTGAGCATGACTATCTTCTTGATGATTTTTTCTTGTAATTCTTCAATATTTCCAATAGTAAAATACGGCTGCGAAGACCAGGCCTGTTGTGGGAATGTAAGCATTCCATTTCCATTTGGCACGAGAGAAGATTGCTACCTCAACGAGAAATTCATGATTCAATGCCGGAACTCTACCGATGGTGTCAGCCACCCAACAGAGCCTTTTTTGGGGGACGGAAATCTCGACGTTACGGACATAACGTTGGACGGTCATTTCCGTGTTTTCTTCGATGTGGGATATGATTGTTATGATCCACGCAATGCTACATTCAATTAATACTCCAGCCCAGTCATGCAAATAGCTGAGAACTTTTTCTTCAATAGTTCGGCGAATAAGTTCATGGCAATTGGTTGCGATTTCTCAGGCACTGTTGAAGGTGAGAGTAAAGCACATAATTACACCACCGGATGTAAATCTCTCTGTTACAGTCGGCAAGATGTGATTGGAGATTCTTGTTCGGATATTGGATGTTTACAAACATCCATACCTAATGGTGCTTGGAAGATCAATATCACTACAACAAAAATGAGTAGTTTAGACACTTTTTTGTGTTTCAATAAGTGGTGTAATAGGACACATGTGATTCACATTGCACGGGACACTACAAAATAGTGTCTCCTATAATCGAATCACAATAAGTCATAAAACATTTGAAAGTGTATTATTAGATTGTCACTTATTAAGACACTTTAAAGTGACCCATTAAGTAGGGTAATAGTTCACAAGCAACCCCACATATTACACTTATGATAGTATTTCATAATATGCATACACTTTTTCATTTTTAATAAGACAATTTTTAGCAAATCTCCTAATACACATATAAAGACACATTTTAAGAAAAGTGTCCCACTATAAAGGTATTAATAGCCCATTTTTGTTGTAGTGTATCACTCTGGAGAGTTTCAGAAACCACACCCGAATCGCGGACTTCAATCTTTGCAGTTACTCTTTTGTTGTTGAAGAAGCCAAATTTAACTTCTCAGCTGATAATCTCACCAATATAGACAAGGATTCAAGTGTACCCGTTCTGGTGGATTGGGTCATAGCCGAAGGCGTGAAATGCGAAGAAGCGAAGCAGAACACGAGTTCTTACGCTTGCAAGTCGGATTACAGTGTTTGTGAAGACCAAAAAGGAGATATGGGTTATCGATGCCGGTGTAAGGACGGTTTTGAGGGCAACCCGTATCTCGCTGTTAATGGCTGCCGACGTAATTAAGCTGAATTGCTTTAGTATTTTACAAGTTTGATGTCGAAATTATCGACAACTTTTAAGAAATTAATGGGTTGTTCTTTTGTTTTCCAATTAACTTTTTCAGATATTGATGAATGCGAAAAACCGTCACTTCACAACTCCCGGAAACACAGTTCTTGTCGGAACACTCATGGAAATTACACTTGCAAGTGTGATCATGGGTACCACGGTGATGGGACTAAAGATGAAGGATGCACTGCTAGGAGAAATGAATGGCCAGGTTCCAAAAAATTTCCCCTATTTTCATGTCCTGTTTCGTTTCATAAAAATCCATTCTTACGATTCCGTTCATACATATGCTTGGTCCAGTGATTGGAGTGAGCTCAGGCAGCGGAATCTTACTGGTGTTCTCCTTCTTATTGTACTAAAAATTGATGAAAAGAAAGGAAAGAAAGGAAAGAAAGCTCAGGGAAGAGTTCTTTGAAAAGAATGGACTAATTCTACAGGAAAAGCTGCTTGCCGGGAAAGGTGGTTCCAGCAACAACAACAACAATACAACTCGAATCTTCACAGTTAAGGAACAACAGAAGGCAACTAATGATTTTCAAGAAAGCAATATCGTCGGCCGAGGAGGATTTGGGATAGTTTTCAAGGGAGACTTGACGGACAACAACAAGAAGGTGGCTATTAAGAAATCCAGGGGAGTGGATGAACACCAGGTTGAGCTATTCATTAATGGGGTGATTATTCTCTCCCAAATCAACAATAGAAATGTGGTAAAATTACTAGGTTTTTGTCTGGAAACCGAAGTTCCGTTACTGGTGTATGATTTCATTGACAATAGAACAGTTTCTGAGCATTTAAGTGACAATCAAAGCCTCGAAACTTTCTTGGGATATTCGTCTAAGAATCGCGACAGAAGTTGCCGGGGTGCTCTCATATTTGCACTCTGTTGCCTCCCCTCCGATCATTCATAGAGACATCCAGTCAGCCAACATCTTATTGGATCAGAATTACACGGCAAAAGTAGCCGATTTCGGGATATAAAGATTGCTTCCAATGGGAGATTGTCAATTTTCGACGATGGTGCGGGGGACACACGGGTATTTAGACCCTGAGTACTTACAAACAGGACTCTTAACTGAGAAGAGTGATGTTTACAGTTTTGGGATCGTCTTGGTTGAGCTTTTTACAGGAAAGAAAGTGTTGGCGTCAGATGGGCCAGAAACTGAGAAATTCTTACCAAATTATTTCCTTTCTTCGGTAAAGAGTGGCGAATTGGGAAGAATTTTTGATGTTAAAATAAACAACAGTGAAAATTTTGAGATACTAAAAGAAGTTGCTATGGTGGCTGAAAAATGTATCAGTGTCAAAGGAGAAGATAGGCCTTATATGAAGGATGTGGCAAGGGAACTGGAAGCTCTTGGAATCAAAACTCAGGAATTTATAGCTCAAGCTCTGGATGTTATTGATTCAGCTGAGAATGAAGCCTTGCTTGGAATAAACTCAAACAAATTCGGAACAATAGATAGTGAGAGATGAGTACCCAATCAATTGCATCGCTGTAAATATTCTTAGCTTTATACCAATGCTTTCAGAATGCGGCTTAATTTCTTTTTGTGTAACCATTGAGTAATGCAGTAATGTTAGATTACATGGTTTTTAAAGATACAGTTTTATGATCAAGAAAATGAATGTTATTCCCTCTGTTCGATTTTAATAGTTCACTGTATTTAACAAAAAATACAACAAAACGAATTATTAAGATGAAACGGAACTGAATGAAAGAACATGTATGCAGCCAAGTGGTCTAAAATGACAAGTTATTAGACAAATCAAGCTTTCATCGTGTCAATTATAATAGGTTAAATTTTATTTTATGCTTGCTTAAAAGTAAGCATATCCATTATTACATGGATAGTGGTAGCTCTATTTTTATTAATTTTTTTTTAAAAAAAAAACATAACGAGAGAGCATTGCCTTTGTTGTGCTTTATGAATTTCTACAGGTTTTGTCCCATGCACGTTCATCATATGGTTCTGGACATGAACTTGAGCACCAGCCATTGTATAGTAGGCTCTCATAAAAGCTTTTCCAACCCATAAACTAGACTCCGTGCATGAGAGAAAAAAACACCAAATCTGAACGCATGATTCTCATCCTAGTCCTAGTTCCCATTCTTATAAAAGACCAGAGTTCCAAAAATATTCCAATGATAAAGCAACATTTTGATTGATCAGAGATTTCTGATGACATCAGCGATATTCAATAGCATTATTATTGATGATTAACGGAATTTTGATTGAATGTGAAATCTCACTTATTGTAATATTCTTTTTGTTTGATCAATGACAAAGAAATGTTAATCAAGATCAACTTGAACGGTCAAGAATTAAATATTTGCCTGAGTTGCTGATATCAAACAATCAATATAAACATATCCAGCATCGACGAATCCTTAAAGACGTTATATATTAAAAACAATGACTAGTTTTTTTGTTCAATTTTGGTCTATTATAATACATTATTAGAAGTTTATTAGTTTAGTTGCTGATATTAACTCATAGTATAATATACTCTTGTTAGTTTTTTTTTTTAATCAAAGTTATTCATTTTGTTGCGTATCATTCATCTACTAACGATATTTTATTTATCAAAAAAAAATATATCTATTTTTCATTTTAGTATTGTTATTCATCTAGGATTAGATCATTATTCATCAAGATTTTCTTCGTTATTCATCTTTGTAAAGATCGTTATTCATTTCAAAATTTAAATTTATTAATTCATAACTTTATCACTACAAGAATACCATTAATCATCCATAGTATTATCATTATTCATCGATAACCATACCATTATTCATCCAAATAAATATCTTTATTCTTTAAAATCTTCCAAATTTGACGTTTAATTCTTCGGATTTCATTGCTAATCAATTGAAATTTTTTTCTTCAATTGATTTTCCAGATTCATAAATCTCAATGAGGGACCATATTCAATTTTACCAAAATAACATCCATCGTTTTTAAAAAATTTTCTCATAAAATAAAATAATATAAAAGCTAACAGAATAAGCGTTAAAAAATAAAAATAAATGTTTGAAATTAAACATGTGCTAAAAAATAAGGGATAAGATTTGGAGGATTAAATGTGCTTGTGGTGTCATAAAATCTGGATGAAAAATTACACTTCTATATAAAGAAGGTGTATGCCCCTAAGTTACACCTTACAAATTATACCTAGATGTTTGTTACTATTTGTCAAAATCCCTCAAAGGCCATCCATTTAATTTGCCGGAATTGGTTTCTTTTTCCCTTTGCGGTGCACTAAGTTTTGATTAAATGATAACATCAGCTGAGACCAGGACACGCAATTACTCTTTTCATATCACTTTTCTTGCTTAATCATTGAACACCTCATCACTTCATCATCATAAACAGAAGGACTCACGAAAAGGAATCTGATGGAAAATGGATTCACTAGTTTCCGGCTTATAGCTAGCTTAGCTACTTCGGAGAATCAACACATATTCCACACAATACTAATAGATAAATCATCCCATATTTTGGAAGAACAAAGCTTTTTTCTGTCAAAGCTTTTTACTCGTACAGATTTTCTCCTTCATATGCTTCATGGAATAAAAAACATTTGGATATATATGTTCTTGCACAAACAATATATAATTTGGTTGCCCGTTAACACTTCTGTGCTAGGCTCAGAAAAAAGGTAATTTCGCAAAGCATATGAAAACAAAATTATGCCATCCCCTTTAATTATTTAAAGCAGAAACACTCAAGTACACTTGATAGTTCCAGAGTCCATGTTTTCCCTCCACAAGCCAAAAGTTATTCAAAAAAAAAAAAAACTGACACGTGGCATGTTTCCTCATGCTTCTCCGGCTCCAAGTTTTTCAGAAGTTTCCCCCTAAAAAGAAAATAAAACCTCCTCTAAAATATATCTCCTTATTTTTTGCTCCATAATTTTAACATCCATTTTAGCTAAAATTCGTTGAATCAATCCCCTTTAAACTGTCAAGATTTATCTCCAAACCGTATCACTCAAATTAAATCCCTGACTTCGTGCAACTCGATTGCTCAAAGTCAATGCGTGCTAATCCTACCCTAAAATAGCTCTCATCAGTCACAATTCCTAATTTCAATTTCAAACAACTGAGGATCGGATCAGTTCTGCAATCTTTTCATCTTTGGATTGTTTAGACCTATTATATCACCTAGAAGATAATAATACCAAAACATCAACAACCCCACAATATTGTTCTTCGGTTTTGGTTTGGTGGGACGATTAGTGGTGTTGTAGACCTCAAGTTTGGACCGCAGTCATCCTCAATCATCGGGAAAGGGAAATTCTTCTTCAATAGGCAAAAGTGACAACAAAAGAAAGATCCACCGACATGAACAGTCCTCAAAGTAGATCCAGTGACATCAACAACCCTCAAGTAGATCCCGCCGACACAGCATCAGCGATGAAGGATTGGCATCATCTCCTTTCCAGTAGTCCCTCTTTCATTTGCAATCCTGCATACAAATCTCTTAAGATCAAATTATTTTTTTTTTGTTAGGTAAATTTAAGATCGAGTTCTCAGCCTGTTGGAATTATTGAGTTGGAGAAGGCAAGATGGTATATTTAACTACGGGTAGCATTTACGGAGATTTTAAAGGTAATATTTTGTTGGTTTTGATTATTTGATTTGTTAGAAAACAGAGAACGGGTTGATGAACGATAATGGAACGGTTTGCGGTTATTGAAAGAAGGTGTAGTATTTTTTCTTATTTTTTTTCACTGCTCCATCATTGTAAATCCTTTTTCTTTTGGGGAGGATTAGATTACAGTAATGAATTTAGCGACGTTATGTTTTCAATTAGATAAGCAACTGCTAATGGTTCCAAAGGTGGTGGAGAACAAGCTAAATGATGACATTGCCGTCTTGGAAAAACTTAGTGTTTATATGTCAAATTTTGTCACTGGTTTTCTCTTTTCTTTCTTAAACATTGATTTTTAGATGCTATATGCTACAACGATGAGGAATTTGAATGGCAAACTAAAGTAGCATACTGACAATCTTTGCAAGGTATGTATGAATACCCCAATTTTCACTCACATGTTCAACATCTATTTACGAGTTGTGTTGATTTAGATCCATAAATAGTTCAGTTTTGATCATCACAGTTTTACAAAGATCAAGTTCAAGTATTCGCGGTGGTGGGGATGAGGTTGTATAATCTTCTAATGCTATGGAAGGTAATCATTTCCTGTTCATGAGGATAGATTTTGGTTAATGGGTTTCAGGGTTGTTTACAGTCAATTATTTTATTTTTCCGTTTTCAATTTTGACCGTTACAGTAGATAGTTCCAGCTCTGTTTCTGTTACTGCAAAAGAATAGGAAAATTTTCAGATTCTTGAACAATTAAAAGAAGCAAACACACGAAAATCTTGAAAACTCTCTTCCTTCCAAATACTAGTACTGTAAGTGTTTGTGCCCTAAATCCAATCAACACTGGGCTTATTTCGTGATCACATTTATTCATGTATGCATCATTTGCCTCATATTCATTAATGTTGTATATTATTTACATAAATGTATTGCAACTAATTAATGAAGTCCAATTATTAATAATCCAAAGTAAATCACACGAAAGTTGTGATGATGACATTACTTGGAACAAAGTTATTAATAAGGAACATCCCAAACCAAAGCATTTTTAATAAGGGACATTACTACTGCATGTAGGTTAGCATGTTCTATGCCTGTTCCTATTGTAGGAACTAGCTGATCTCATTGACTATGACGTGGAGAAGTCTAAGTTAGGACATGGATACTTGTAGAAGACAAGTACATTGGATATACCCAACAACATAAATTCCATATTTGTTAATGGAATATCTCTAAATGATCTAGGTGTAAATGATCCTTAGACTTGAGATCATCATGGTACCTTGCGCATAAATTATCATACTTGATCTCACTTGTAGTTTCTCTTAACAAAGTAATGTTCGGTGACGTTCGTATGATATCAAGTGCGGAAAGGTGGTGAATGATCAATAAAGGATTCACCCTCCAACTTTTATTGGAGAGATATCTCTATGGCCACTTGTTGAAGTATTGACTTGAAAATCTTTGTGCAAAGTGGGAGAATTAAATTAGAAAGACGTTTCTGATTTAATACTTCAAGAGGTCATATTTCAGGAACAAGAAATAGATTAGCATATACCAAAGGAGAGTGACAATAGTCTCTCTATGCTATGGGATATGATAAAAGGTGAAGGGATACTAATTACACAATTAACTAGTACATTGAAAGGTTACAAAGTCTTCACTTGACTTTTTTCTCGAGACTTGGTTGTCATGGAATGTTGCTTGACATCTCTCATGAACCTTAGACATAAGCTTATAATAATGTAGACAACTGATAAATTAATAAGAATTAATTTATGTCTACAATATTAACATAAAGAAGTTATGCTACATGTCTATTGCCTCGACTTAGAGAAACCTATGGGGTCACACACTATAACACCA